CCCTCCGCCTACAGGCCATCCCTCTCACCTCACCGAGGGATGGCTTTTCTGGGTAGATTTCAGTTGCCAGGTAGGTTTGTATGTAAGGGTGAGGCTGGACCCTCATTATTTCCACCTGCAGTAGGTATTTGTATTCATCTACGAATACCTTCATCTCTAATCAAGATGCAAAGCAGAGTCTAGAGAAGAAGAAGCAGTGGTCTCTCAGTGTCCATTACAGCCAAGGTTTATATAGCTGAACTGTTAGTGTCCCATCCAGAACTCAGCTCTACTACTTGGTCTGCTGGTCTCTGTGGGAGACACCTGTTTGTCAGCGTCCCTTTACTCTTGAGGAAGCCTTTTCTCTTAAGGAGGCTTTTCCTGCAGCCAGCTACTTCACTAGAACATGTGTCATTATCATATGACATTCTTTTGGCCTTTTGGGTTACAGTCTTTTGGGACACAGTCCAGTCTTCTCAGACTCAGCTACAGAACAACCTTTTTGGGGGGAATTCAGTGTCCTGGGACTCCCAAGGATCCAGGATCTGCAAGGTTTGGCAGTTCCTCTCCTGCTGGACATGGAGGACATGACTCTGGAGGGGCTCATCTGGCCATTTAAGGCAGGGTGGTTTTGATATAAATCACATCAGTTTTAATCATGAGTTAAATCACTGGTCAAACTCTATTTAATTGTGTGTGTTTTTCCCCTCCAAAAAGTCTACTTTTTCTTCCAATAATCTTAATACAGTACTGTATATATTTTTCATAATCTCTATCTAGATTAGAGGATTGCTAGAGACAGTCAATCTACACAAGGAGATTATAAATATATATCTTGTATGCTGCCCATACTCTGCAAGAGTCTCCGGGCGGCTATATATATATATGCTTTTTTGGGTGGCATATATAGCATGAAAACTATGGGAGATAAAAAGAGAAATTAATAATCTGTACAGAAACTCATGGTACTTGATAAAACTGAATCGGGTCCACCCAAAGCTTAAAAAATGTCTACAAATAACTTGTCTCATAATGTAGAATTAACACTTATAGACTTTATTCCATGTTTCATAACACATTGATCCAAGAACCTTTTGAATTTTAGGAAAGATAATACAGTTGGTGTAAATCTTGATGACAAAATGCTGCAAGTCAAGAAATTAATATAGGCTTTTGCTGTTGCATGCTGGGGTTGTGCAACTCAGTGCAAATGTGTTCTTGAAGGCTTTCATGGCCGGGATCCAATGGTTGTTGTGGGTTTTTGGGCTGTTTATCCGTGTTCTGGATGCTTTTCTCGTTAAGAAGAAAAACCTCCAGAACATGGATAAACAGCCCAAAAAACCCAGAACAACCATCAGTGCAAATGCTTACATTGGCTTCTTAACTTGTGGGAATTTACTAACAAGATTTGTACTAACTGTTACACTGGCAAGCATAAATAATAGAATTTGGGCCATTTTGAATTAAAATTACCACCACGAAAGTATTTTTTAACAATTAAAATTTTTGATTATTTAAGCATGATAAAATAAATCATTAATTTTTATCTCCTTTGGGTTAAGGGCCTGCAAAGCAAGTAGGAAGAACTTTGGGTAGGTAATGATGAGGTATACTGAGTATTTAGGGGGACCTGCACTTTAGTTGTGCAAAGTCACCAGCTTGCAGATAGTAAAGACAAACAAGCCAATTTTAGGAACTGTTTGTGGACTATTTTTATACACCCCAATATGTTCAAAATTTAGAAACACTAATCTTTCTATTGTGAAGCACACATTCATTTCCAATAGGTACAAGTACAGCTTGGGTGCTATGCCTGAACCAGAATAGTATTAGGTAAAGCAAATTGCCTCTTGAGATGCTTTGAAAAATTGGAAACATAATAGTACACTGTACAGTACTTAACATGTAAAATCTCACACACATTGGTGCAACTTCACAAAGAAAATTCAAAGTTCTAACTCAGTGGCTCCCAATCTAGGTTCCCCAGATGTTACTGGATTGCACCATCTAGAAATCTTGGCCGTAACAACTAGTGATGAAGGCTTCTGGGAGTTTTAGTCCAAGAACATCTAGGGACCCAAGGTTGGGAACCACTGTACTGTATCTCTAATATCTGTTCTTTAGATATTTCTTCAGATTTCAACCACCTTATTAGATTGACTTTCATCCTTTGTGTTAAAGGACGTGGATGCATCCCGGCTCTCAACTTTAGTTCTCTAACTCTTTTCCTATATGCTTCCTGTGTCAAATTCAAAGTACATAAAATGGCCATTTTTATAGTCTCATACTGAGCGGCTTCTCTAGGCGATAAGGTGTCTACCACCTCTTGCAATAGTCCAGTGAGGCAAGGAACTAATATATCATGATCCATTGTTCTTTTGGCCATCCGGCTGCCACAGCTACCCTCTCAAAGGTGTATAAATAGGCTTTGGGGTCATCGGTTGGTCTTTTGTATTGTACTCTAATGCATTCCGATGTAAGATCTAATTCTTATAAAGCTTGCTTCATTATTCTTCTTGTCAGTAGCATCTGTTGTTCGGCTAAGTTCTCTATCAATTTCCCATATCGTTGAATCATGGGTTGCAATTTCAAAATTTCATCTTCTCCCGCGCTTGGAACTGCCCCACATTGGCTGCCATTGTGATTGGGTTCTTTTGAAACTAATGGCAGTTCCTCACATTTGGCAGGAAGAGGCTGAGACTGAATTAAAGGATTCTCACTTTTTACTTTATTAACACGCGGAGTATCAACTATAATGGCAACAGGGTCAAAACAAGACAAATCTGGTAAATGTCCATAACTGGTCAACATGGACCTTTTTCCCAACAATAGTGTATTCACTGGGGCTGAACCAAACCATTTACGATCGGTAATCTTGCTCAGGGGAGCACTCCACATTGCGCACACCGTCCCACAGCAGAGGTGAAGTGCCCAATCTCCCTCCTTCAGTGGGGTGTTGTATACTGGATTGGGGCGTATCACCTTTCTTCCACGTCCTTGCCCACGCGGAAACACTATCACAGTCCGTTCCTGGGTTTTGTAGACCCTTTCTCCTTCCCTTGGAACTTCTGGATTTGGAAGTAAGCCTCCTACTTTCAGATTGGGAAAGTCTTTAAGTAGGTTGTGTGCTTTCTTGTATTTTGATTACTTTTCTCTGATTCTGATTCTGTCTTGATCTCTCGACTCTCTTTCTCCACTACTCTGCTCCCGAACCTCCTTTCTCCCCCTTCTTTTATATTATCCTCCCCAATATAGTTTTAATTCCTCCCTTTTCTTCTTCCTCCTCCACTAAGCAGACTTCTGTGTTCTTCTTCCCTCCCCTTTACACTCTTGTCATTCCTCCTATGTCACCCTCTTTGATATCTTTCTCCTCTTTTGCTGGTTCAGCACACAAAACGCAGCATCCACACCAGAATCAAAGAACCTGAAAGACACTGCAGATTAAAACAACCGGAAAAATCGGCAGTAGCTGAACATGCCCTGAAACATGCTGGACATGAAATTCTATTTCAAAACGCAGAAGTACTGGACAACACCAGCCGTCATTATGTTAGACTACACAGGGAAGCCATTGAAATCCACAAACACCAGCACAGCTTCAACAAAAAAGAAGACGTTCTAAAACTCAACAAAGCCTGGCTCCCAGCACTAAAAAATACAGCCTGCAAAAAGGTCAACGAACTCTAACCAGCCACATGGACCGGTGATCACTGCACACAGTAGACTAGCTAACGACACCCCTCAATCACAGCGACAGATCATCTCCCCTTATAACAACAATACAACCATAACAAAAACACCCTGATCACCATAATCACCCAATTTTCTGAAAAGGACAAAAAGATGACCCCACAGCTACAAATACTCAGCTATCCCACACACTACACCAGAACACAGACAGAGTTCTAACTCCTGTCCTCTGAAGATGCCAGCCACAGAGACTGGTAAAATGTTAGAAAAACCTCCAGAACACGGCCAAACAGCCTGAAAAACATGCAACAACCAGATAGGCTAGTACAGTGGTGCCTTGCTTAACGGTGATAATCCGTTCCAGGAAATTCGCTGTTAAGCGAAAATAAAAATCCTATTGAAACGCATTGAAAGCAGGTGCCATGTTTGGTGCCTGTATAGCGAGGAATCCGTCCCTAAACACAGCGGGGAGCCATTTTAATTACCCAGTGACCATTTTGAAACCACTGATCAGCTGTTAAAAAAACATCGTTTTGCGAAGAATTGATTCCCGAAGCAGGGAACCGATCATCGCAAAGTGAAAAATACCGTATTTAGACCATAGTTTTGCGATCACAGAAGCGATCACAAAAACGTCGTTGTGAAGCGGATTCGTCATAATGCGGGGTAATTGTTAAGCGGGGCACCACTGTAATTTGCTGTAAAAGTTGTTTACAAGGCTGACTTGAATTCTATTTCTTCTTTGTGGTTTACATTGGACAAAGAACAAACAGGCTAAGAATTAGTACCTTATTTCTTTGGTACTTTGGAGCAGACTCTTTCTTGCATCAAACCCAGGAAGGGATTATTATTTTATTTCATATATATGCTGATTGTCTTCCAGAATTTGGACGAAAGGCAGCGTACAACATTGTTTAAACAGAAAATTAAAATGCATTAAAACAGAATTAAATTCACTGTGTTAGTAAAATGCAATTAAAATTAAAACACTTAAAAATCTCTTAATTAAAATACTAATACAATTTTTTAGAAAAAAGAGAGATAAAATAGCACATTGGCTGAAAGCTTACAGTTTGAGGCTGTTAATTGCCAAAGACCAGGCTGAATGAAAAGGTCTTTGTCTGCTGGCAGAAGGACAGCAAAGAGGGGCAAACCTAGCCTCTCTTGGCAAAGGGTCCCTCAACCTGGAAGTGGGATAGACTCTTTTCCCCAACCCTCTCTCCATTAAAATACACCCAATGTAGAATTATTGTTTTATTACTTACTTATTACTCTAAATGAGAAGAATTTAAGGGAATAAAAAGTTTCAAATATGTGTCCTTTGTTTTTAGTATCCAGCCAGAGAGAAGAAAAACAGATTGAGCACCTAGAATGTGACAGAGCCTCTCCTCTTTAAAGCAACTGTGTTGTTGGCAAGATGGATCGGAGTAAGCGAAATTCAATAGCAGGATTTCCACCACGTTTGGATCGTGTTGAAGACTTTGATGGGGGTGGCGGAGGAGATGGGACTGTGTCCCAGATGGGCAGAGTTTGGACTTCTTCATACAAGGCCTTGATAAGTGCCTTTTCAAGACTTACACGGCTTGATGATTTTTCCTGTGAAAAAATAGGATCTGGCTTCTTTTCAGAGGTGTTCAAGGTAGGTAACTAATTTTCCCCTCTTCCTAATTGCCATGTAGTAATTACAGGAAAATACTAAATGAATGTTCTATTATTGTTTGCTTTGTGGATCTTTTGGCTGTGCTTTGACTAAGATCACTCAATAACCAGGGTTTTAAGGACTTCAGAATATTAATTTGATACCTGTAATACTTCTTCTGAGAATTATAAAGCACAGTGGAATGAAAGGTTTTGTTTTGTCATTTAATGTCTTATGTATTTTCATTTTTTGGAAGTAGCTGTGTTAGTCCATTCAGAAAAAGGACCAATGTAATGTTTGATTATTAGTCTTACTTGTGTCTTTATAAAGCAATATAGAAAGAACCCTGTAGAAAGTGTTTATATATACAAATAACAGTACTAGTTTTACCAGAGTATTTTAATATATTGCTTCCACTTCATATACTTTCTGTTACTTGCCATTTCTTGTGGTTCAGTCTGAAAAGGGAGAGCTAAATATTTGAGGTAACAATGTTTGCATTTTGCAGTTGGGTTCCCATTCATTTCTCTGATTCTATTTTCCATGCATTGCCCCAATCACTCAAGTACTGTATATATCCATAATATTCTTCCAATTTAGACAAACTCCATGTAGCAGATGAAAGTGGAGTATCATCAGCAAAAGCTTAGGCCAAATAAAATTTGTTAGTCTTTAACGTGCCCAAAGATTGCATTAAATAATGCTTACCTTTAAAAATATGAATTGGAATGTTTGTAGAAATTAATAATTGGTTTTTAAACATTTAGCTATCTCTTTTTAGACTCAACCATTTTGAAAGCACCTTACATAGTATTCAAGAAGACAAACCTCCACAAAATAGGTGTTGCAACAGCATCTGTTTGCAAATAGCTCTCAGCTACCCAGTTTTATCATGGATCCTAAGAGCAAATGAAGGCGGTTAATTGCTGAAGAAATAAAATTCTGTTTCACTGCGGTGGTCAGAATAATGGAATATGGTAACTGATACCTGCATTTACTCCCTGAAGACATCTGACATAGTTTAAGACATTTTAAATCTGCAACTGCTATTTAATTACAAAAAAAGCAAGACATTTATGTTAACAAATTAAACTCTCCCCTCTGGTTTTGCTGCCATGCTAAGACAGGCTAACATGGTTATTTCTTCAGGAGTTCAGACATGGTAGAGGTGAGAGACAGTACTTCATGTCTCATTATCATGAAGATTGAGTTGTTAATTGGTTTTCTGTATCTTTCCAAAATCAAAAGGAAAAAGAGAGAATAGGGCAAAATATTGTGATAACAATGACTAACAGGTTTATTTCAATGTGAAGTTTCATGGTTCAAAATCTAGTTCATTGGAAACAATGAGTGCAAATAATGTTCTTTATATTTATACATATCCTCATGATGAGAATCATGACCAAGTGTCAATACAAATAATAGACAAAGTGACAGTACTTTGTTAATAAAGCAGTGGAACTATCACAATCTTAATTGCTCTGGCCAGGGTGAGAAACTGTATGCCAGGTGGATTTAGCTGTAACAAACTTCTGAGATTTGTTCCTAGGATAGATATCAGAGTTTGGCAAGGAAGACAACTATTTATACTGATAAGATATTACAGAAAGAGTTTGGCAAGGAAGACAACTATTTATACTGATAAGATATTACAGAAATATATATATATATGCACTGAGAAGCCTTAATCTCAATCTCTGTTTAGGACCTTGGTGATGCACTGTAACTTGTTTATGTAGTTAGTTTCTGCAGTCGTTATCTTGAGTCTCCCTTTGTAATTTCTTTTTTTCTGTCATATCCACTTTGAGAATCCTAAACAGAATGTTCTAGGAGGCTGAAATGTTCTGAAACTGATTTTCCTATGTTGTCATTTCTACAGACTAGTTCATTTAATCAAATCTATTGCTTTATTGCAGGCATCCTCTATTTAAGCTCTATATATTCAGAGCTTAAATAGAGGATGTCTGCAATAAAGCAATAGATTTGATTAAATTAACTAGTCTGTAGAAATGACAACATAGGAAAATCAGTTTCAGAACATTTCAGCCTCCTAGAACATTCTGTTTAGGATTCTCAAAGTGGATATGACAGGAAGAAAAGAAATTATAAAGGTAGACTTCGTGTGTTTCTGTGTGGAAATAGCATCCATCATGGTGACAAATTACAGATAATTAACAAGTTGATGGTCACAGGTCAGTCACCTGTTAATAGCTGCAGTTCTCCATTGCAACATGAACAATTTCACTTACTCTTGAGTAAATTCATAATTTGGTGTTTCTTTGTTGACTTTGTATACGTCTTGTCATTCTCCAAGAAGAATCCCAATGTGGCTTACAACAAACTCTAAACACATAGATTAAGAATACATTGAAATAAATAAAAGTTATTAAAAAGGTACAAAGAGCTATCATTTAATTGTGTTTTGCCATAATGTTAGGGCTGGGTGTGCCATTAGCATCAGTTAAATGTTTACTTGAGCTGTTTTTTCCCCCTAAGATAGCTCTGGTGGCATGGCCTAGAGTAGTGGTTTCCAACCTTGGTTCCTCAGATGTTCTTGGATTAAAACTCCCAGAAGCCTTTACCACTAGCTATGCTGACCAGGATTTCTGGGAGTGGTAGTCTAAGAATATCTAGGGATCCTAGGTTGGGAACCACTGGCCTACAGCATCTGTTTCCACACTCCACCTTCTTCCTTGTTATGTGCTCCTCTTCAGCTTCAGTGTGCAGGCATGTATGCTGCTCCCTTCTCTTGTTAAGCATAGATGATTAAGAGTGAGTATGACAAAGGTGGAGAGCATGCACCCTGTGGGCCACATTTATGTGCTTTTCAACACACTCCAGAGGAAGCCTTCTTTAGCAAGTTTTTGACAGAACAGTACAGCAATGGGACAAGTAAGGAAATAAAATCCTGCTTCCACTGGAATTGGGTATGGAGGTAGACAATTGGATGAGGAAATACAGTGCTAGAACTTAACCATATTTAAAGTGAAATGCTATTGTGGAGATGGAGATAATGAATGTATGTGGAGTTTCAAGTTTCTTTTAAAGAAAAGAAAAGAATGCCTGAGTTTAAAGAACTGCCATTTGCCTACTTTGTTTCAAGGAAAAATAAAAATCTGGTTTTCTATATATGGTTTTTCAGCACTGGTTTTCATTTAAGATGTTCTGGGTCGTACACATGACAATGCAGGCCATCCAGGCAAGCCACTTCAACAGCACTGTATCCAATAACATACATAGATTTTTGTGCATGAGGCTGCTTCTGTCTTGCGTTTTGTGTTAAGATCCTTTTCCATTGAAATGGCAAGCCATGCCATGCTAGGAACCTATTACACATAAAGATTACTATTCTTGCCAAGTCTGAATAATAATCCATCTAATTTTATGTATGAAGCCAGAAGACATCTTGTTGCATATTTGGAGGGAGGGAGTATTTGCTTTTAGCAGCAGCGCTTTAATCTTCACAAACTATTCCTATTCCAAAGGGTCACCGGGTTATAAGAAGTTGTCAAGCGGGAAAGGGTTACTGCCAGAAGATCAGAACTGTTACTTCTGTAAAATAATAATATTTCCCATGACATTTTGGATCCCTATCATTGTACATTGATCAATTCAAGAAAAATAAATCAAAATGGAGCAATTAATACTGGCACCTGGAAGGAAACCAATGCAGAAGATCAGTCAAATATTATCTACTGCATTCTTAGAGATCGCAGCTGCCGGTAAGCGCGCTTGGAGCGGGGCTGCGGAGGACGGCTAGGGCTGCCCCCCATGCGGCCCAAACCAAATTTATGTGTGGCCCAAACCAAATTTTCATCTTCTAATGTGGCCCATGGAAGGTGAAAGGTTGGACACCCCTGATCTAGTGCATTCTTGTTGTTTAATAAAGACCTGAACTGCTTCCAGTATTTGCAGCCGATTTTCCTTTCTTTTTAAAAAGGCAGATAGTCTTTTTGAATAGGAATATCTATTTGTAATCTGTACTTGATTTCTGAAGATCAATCTACAAATGTACCATTCTTATTTTCTCCACTGATCTTGAACAAAAACTGTTAGAAATTATATATCATCATTTTATGGTTGTATGTTTTTCGGACTCTTTGGCCATGTTCTGAAGGTTGTTCTTCCTGATGTTTCACCAGTCTCTGTGGCTGGCATCTTCAGAGGAACAGGAATAGGAACTCGTCCATGCTCTGTTGCTGTTTGTTGGGTGGTTGGGTATAGCTGTGGGAACAGCTTTCTTCTTTTTTGTTGAAGCTCTGCTGGTGTTTATGGATTTCAATGGCTTCCCTGTGCAGTCTAACATAATGATTCCTAGAGGAAAGTCTAAAACTTAATAAGGCCTGGCTTCCAGCACTGGAAAATACAGGTTGCAAAAGGTCAACTAACTCTACCCAGCCACAAGGACCAGGGATCATTGCACACAAAATACCAGCTAAATACACCCATCAATCACAGTGACAGATAATCTCTCCCCTCTTATCACAACAATACATCTACAACAAAAACACGCAGATCACCATCATCGCCCTATCTCCTGAAAAGGACAAAAGCTGTTCCCACAGCTATAAATACTCAACCACCCAACAAACAGCAACAGAGCATGGATGAGTTCCTGCCGAAGCTCTGGTAGACGGCTGGTTCTCTGCCGCTACTAGGGCTGTTGACACGATTGCACCCAAACGCCCTCTCAGGAGCAGAGCTCGGCC